CACAGCCGTAAGCGGTAGATCTACGAACAGCAAGGCGACAATAAGCTCATCAGAAACGCGGAATCAGTACAGATCTGAAATAGCCAACTTCAGAAGAACGAGATGCTATATTAGGCTGACTACCTTACTTTACTTTTCGTCACCGGGCAGGTGTGACGGAACCACAAGGTTAACATTGAGTTTACGAAGGACTTCTTAGTTCCCGACGGGATGATAAAATCACCGGTCTATCCGTGGAAATTCCACACAATTGGACTTCGCTCTGCCGCCCCCGAGAGTAGCTGATTTTTGGGACAGTAAGCGATCTAGGCTATCCAGCTAGCGCATTTATGACTAAGTCAAGGTCTAAAGATCGGCCTGTATTTTAGCGAAAACATCTCGATAGCAATATATCCAATTCTGGCGAAAGTCGGCGTCTGCCGTGCACCGAAACAGTTCAAGTTTGATAAACAGAGAAGCTAATTTGTGTGCGCCTTATATCACCCTTCACAAATAAAACCATCTAATCAAGCCGATTGACCGGTCATACATCAAGGGTCTCCCATCCTTATAACCTTTCAGGCTCCAGAACCCTCCTTTTTATTTCCAAATTACGCCTAGCTCTCCCCAAACCTAGCGGCCCGTTGCCAAGTGAATTAAGCTCGGGCGAAACCGAGTTGAGGTGACACTGATGTGCGTTTCCCTTCATCGGGATCAGCGTCCGAGCTTGATCCCCTCCAACAGGACCCATCTTGAAACACGCATCGCGCCTTTCCGAGGAATGCTTAAATGATAGCACCTCTTTGTTTCTCACCTTTAAAGCCCGATGCAGAGCCGCCTGGCCTTTCCCCACATCCTGTACGACCTGCTTCTCCGCTAGACTTGTCGAGGGTGATGCTGTAATCATCAACGACAAGCCAAGAAGGGTATTGACGACCCCCTAATTTCCGCTCTCCCGGTATATCTCAATATGCACTGGCTCCGTGCGGCTTTGCTGCTTCCTCTGGCTGTTTCTGCGACGTTGAACTTGAAACAGTACAAACCGTCATTGAACCAGCCCAAGTACTCAAACGCGAGGGCCGACTTCCAGCAAAATGTCGTGAACAAGGCTCAAGGGGAACCTAAGTTCCTCACAGACAAGACCAAAAGTGCGTTGATACATGTCAGTTACTCTCTGACGTGGCCTACTATCTAACACTTCTGCTCTTAGAGTTTGTCGTCAATGGAACAAAGATTCCCGAAGTTGACTTTGATGTCGGCGAGTCCTATGCGGGATTACTCAACATTGACAAGAACAATGACACAGCCGGGAAGCTGTACTTCTGGTTCTTCCCATCCGAGAGCCAGGCTGCTGACAAGGAGATTATGATCTGGTTGACCGGTGGGGTAAGTCTAGCGGATATAATAGCGAACATCGAACAGAACTGACTTGCATTGCCAGCCTGGTTGTTCCTCTACTGGAGAACTTCTCTCAGAAAACGGCCCTATGCTCTGGCAGCCGGGAATGTTTAAGCCCATCCGCAACAAATGGAGTTGGCATCGTATTACCAATGTCGTCTGGGTGGACCAGCCCGTGGGTACGGGCTTTTCGCAGGGTACACCCACCGCCAAGGACGAATTCGATGTCGCCCGCCAGTTCCTCAGCTTCTGGCGCAACTTTGTCGACACCTTTGCAATGCAGGGCTACAAGGTCTATGTGACGGGATCCTCGTACAGCGGCATGTACTGCCCCTACATCGCGAGCGCCATGGTCGACAGCAACGACAAGGACTACTTCAACATTGCCGGTATGCAAATTTTTGACGGCACGTACTCAGTCGACAGTATCGGGGAGGAAATTCCTGCGGTTTCCTTCGTGGATCGATGGGAGCATGTCTTCGCCTTAAACGACACATTCAGGCAGACGCTGAAGGATGCACATGAGAAATGTGGCTATGCTGACTACATGCGTAAGTGGCTCGTCTATCCACCTGCCGGACAACAGCCTGCGACAATGCCGGGCTTGGATGAGGACGGCAACGTAAAGACAGAGTGTGATACCTGGACCATGATCTTGGAGGCTGCGACGGAGATTACTCCTTGCTTCAGCGTCTATTCCGTCACGAACCTCTGCCCATTGAAGTACGACCCGCTTGGTTTCAGTGACGGCTCCATGTATAGGCCGAAGGGGGCTGGACCAGTCTACTTCAACCGGGAAGACGTCAAAAAGGCCATCAACGCACCCTTGGACAAGGAATGGGTATTCTGTACCGAGACACCGGTGTTCTTCAATGAGACCGACAATTCTATTGACGAAGGGCCGGGGAGCCAACCAGTCTTGCCCAACGTCATTGACAAAACCAGAAACGTCATTCTCGCACACGGCGCCAAGGACTTTGTGCTCATTGACGACGGTACGCTCCTCACAATTCAGAACTTGACCTGGGGAGGGCAGATGGGTTTCCAAAAGAAGCCCACCGCACCGCTCTACGTGCCCTATCACACCAACACTGACCCCGAGACGCTGGCTGGCGCTGGTGTGATGGGTACAGTGCACTCGGAGCGAGGCTTGACGTATCTCGCCGTATCTACGGCAGGCCACTTCCTCGCACAGGATGCTCCAGCTGTGGCGTTCCGCAGTGTCGAAGTATTGGTCGGGAGACGGGAAGGTTTCGAGTCGACGAACACGTCGTTCACCATCGATCCTAACACGACAGCTCCTGTGGGAGATGCGGGTAACGGCACAGTCTTGATGTTCCCGCAATCTATGGAACCTGGGAGGGGTCAACTTTCAGGCGCACAACCGGTGAGGAGCAGGGGGATAGAGGTTTCTGCGGCTGGGGGTCAAGCAACGTTTGCCATGGCTTTGGCGACTATTGTCGCAGTATACATGGAGTTTTGATGGTTTGGATTGTTGGTGTTTTCGGATTTCAGAAAAAAAGAATAAACGTAAGAACAATGAGCTCTAAAACTACAATGCAGAATGAAACTTATTGAGCTCATAAAACACATGCGGTGTTCGTATTGCGTCTTAGTCGGCGGATAGCTCAATTACTAGTCATTTAAAGTCAGAAATGCCAAAAGTTTCAAGTATATCAGATTGCTCAATGAGGATCTATGTCTAGCCCATTTCGTTCAGGTATGAGCTGGTGTCGCCATCATTTGTTCAACACGGAAGACCAATCGTTTTGTTTGGACCATTGTTCCCAAGTCGTCATGGGACAATCTATGCCAGCCTATAAAAGTAGCAGTCAATTCTCTGTTCTCCAGATAAAGCACCTCGTTCTTTACGACCTGGAGCTCTCACCTTTGCAAGATCAGCTGCGGTCAGCAAGTCCATGCCACCATCGTAACCTGGGTCTGAGGAATATGAAAACATGTATGCGACTTCGATGCCGGTATCGTGCTCTCCAGTCGCCTCAATCATCTCTTCTGGCCTAATTTGCTTATAGCTGGCTTGTACTCCATTTACCTTTGCCCATGTCTCTAGGAATTGGGGCCAAGTAGCAGTTGTTCCTTCAGCCATGTAGGCCTTGCCGGGAGGCATCTGGGAAACGGCGTAGGTGAAGTTGCCCATGTCATCGACAGGGGAAAAATGGGGGACGGGCTTGTCAGGAGATGTTGTGAACGCCATAGTGAACGTGCCATCGGAGTTCTGATGACGCTTTAGAGATGATGATTGTCACATCGAAAAGGGGGGGGGGGCTCACCTTGCCGAAGTATGAGTTTGGGAGAATGTTGTAGCTTGTGTAAAAGTACCCAGTATGAATGCATGACATCTTCGCCGCAAGTTCGGGATACTTTTCGTTCACGTAGCCAGGGAAAACCTCCGCCTTGGAATCAAAGTGATACAGCTCCTTGAACTTTCCACCACTGCATTTCTCAGCGTGACTCAGTGTCGAAACCAAAAACCCGTTCTTGTCAAGCGATTCCACAGTCTTGGCCGCGGCGTCGACGATATTTCGTCCCTGGCGCAACTCGACGTCGTAGGCGAACTTCCGGCAGGAGATGCCCTGCTCCTGTGCCTTCATGCGACAGTCTGGTCGGAAGAAGGGCTCCCAATAGTTTGTGACGCTGAAGATGACATTTGCGCCCGTAAATGCTTCTTCGATGGAGGCGACGTCTTCAAGGTCTGCGCCCACCAGCTCCACATCGGAACCGAGAGCGGAAAGGGCAGTAGCGGACGTGGATTTGGTGTCGCGGGTGAGAGCGCGGACGCGGTAGCCGGCGGCCAGAAAGCGGCGGGCAACGGAGCCGCCTTGATTGCCCGTGGCGCCCACGACGACGATGAGCTTTTGGGACATTGTCGTCGGTGTTGGTTCGTGACAAAGAATAAGAGGCGGTGAGTTGACCGGTGGGATACTAACGTGGTGAAACGAGGAGAGACTTTTTGAGTTGAGTGTATTGCTAGATGTAGTAATCGTTCAGGTACAAGGAAAGCATCCAGCTACTAGAGCTTGAGATGAGTTTGCTGAAGTCCTCAGATCCGTGAGTAGCTTCTAGAAAATCTTGAGATCGTGGGATCCAAAGTGGTCAAATTCTGCTTCGAAAAGCTTCAAAAGAAAATCGTTGACCCCTCTGTTGCGGCCCATTCCCCGCCGCTTTCGTGACAGGCCAGAAACATACCGCTTCCCCTCGGCTGGAGCAGACACTAGTGTGAGATAAGTGTCACTAAGAGAGACTAAATCAAGGCCACTAAGTCAGTCTCATACCTAAGCGATGTACGGATACATGAGGTGATATCTCAGAGTCGATATGAAGGTGGAGCTCCTTGTCTCGCAAAACTCTTCAGCTATTGGCTCATCAAAGTGCCTTGAAGCTCACAACGTGCTCACAAGCCTTACCGAACATGGCGATGGCGATCGGGAGCGGATACCATGGTGGGTTTGGCAGCTGAGAGGAATGGGTCGTAACGTACGGGGGCGGCACGGACGTAGCGCTCGAAGCGGAATAGGGGACGACCCCGGCAGCTCATTGGCGTGATGATGGAGGGGGCTTTATGTGCAAGGCTTTTCCCAGAATTATTCTTCAGCTGGGTTCCCGGGCGATCCGCATTCATCCATCATTTCCCACCGTGGGGTGACATTTTAATTTACCGCTTCTCCATTCCAAGGGGGACACTTAAAGTTTGGCCCTCGTCTGTTTCTCGAACAGAGTCAAATTGTCCAGGGGAAAAGCGAAACCGTTGTTTTCAAAACTCCCACCTCTCTTTTTACTTCTCCCACCGGGAACAAACGGCTGACGGCAGACGGCCTGCCGATCCCGCGCTCCCTTTTCCAATGACGTCGCGTCCGTCAACTACCGGCGGTTCCAGTACCGCGGACTCGGGACCGGCCACCGGGACCCCCTCTAGTGCCGGTCCAGTCCAAACACCAACCCCTTTGACTAGCAGCACGGGAGCGACAACACCTCCCCGTGCCGTAGCACCGACCAGTATCCAGTATTTGCTTAATCCGGCGGCAGATCAGACCTTGACGCCGCTCCAGGTCGACGTAAGTTTATCACCGCCATGGTCCCTCTCCCTTTGGAGACTCCCTTGGGGCTTGAGCAAGGCCATGTGCACTAACGTTACCTTGTGAACCCGTATTACAGACCGAGATTACAAACCCCGGCGAAGATCATGACTCGGCCTACGGCTCCGATGCTGGCAGTGCTTACACGGCCTCCATAGCATCCTCCATCTTCCATTACCAGTACGAGAACGGGCGGCGATACCACGCCTACCGTGAGGGACAATACGTGCTTCCTAATGACGACCAAGAGCAAGAACGACTCGACCTGCAGCACCACATCTGGCGTCTCCTCCTTGGAGGCCAGCTTTACACCGCGCCACTCCCCACACCAGAGGATCCGGCGGCTTCTGGTATGAGGATTCTCGACCTCGGTACAGGGACGGGAATATGGGCCATAGAGATGGCAGATGAATTTCCCACAGCTGACGTATACGGTGTCGATCTCTCTCCCATTCAGCCGGAATGGGTTCCCACGAACTGCAAATTCCATGTCGATGATTACGAGGACGAGTGGACATACCGTGAGGAGGAGCACTTCGACTACATTCACGGCCGCGCCCTCAGCGGAACGTCCTCTGATTGGGCTAGGTTCTACGACCGTGTCATGGGTGGTTTGAAGCCAGGCGGATGGGTTGAAATGCAAGAGTACGATGCATGGATCTTCAGCGACGACGATAGTTATGAGAGAGCGCCCTGGACAAAAGAATGGGTGAACAAGCTGGATGAGGCAAGTAAGATGTACGGGAAGCAAATCAACGTGGCAAGACACCACAAACAATGGATGATTGATGCCGGGTTTGAGGATGTTCAGGAGCTTGTTTACAGAGTAAGTATTTTCAGCCAACGGCTATGCCCATGCCCTAGGAGATGTGCTCACATGGCTTTTAGATACCCATCGGCCCGTGGGCGAAAGATCCGGCATTGAAGGAGCTTGGTCGCTGCGAGCTGGTTCATATGCAGATGTCTGTCGACTCTCACACTCCGGCCTTGTTCACGAGAGTATTGAACTACTCGCACGATCAAGCCAGAGTGCTGATGGAGGGTGTCAAGCGAGAGTTACGTAGCAAGGACTACAGGCTTATCACGAGCTATCGGTTTGTCACCGGGAGGAAACCGATGGCATGACAGTGAGTTATTGACGTAAAGATATTATCGATCGCTCGCTCCTTGCAGCATTGGCGAGCCGAATGAGGGAGTTGGGGTGACTTTAGTGGCAAAAATCATGGGATTGGCGTACTGTAACTCATCGATGTATCGAGCGAGAGCGTTTCTTGGAATGAGGGGCATATCTAAAACAACACAAAGACTCTTTTTGATGACCCCTTAATTCTCACCGCGTGGAAGGGTCAGAAAATTAGTGACATGACCGAGATCCGAGAAATAGCGGTGGGTGTTCCTCTACCTCTGAAGTAGTGAGTTATCCAAGTGATGAATTCTGGCCGACGCAAATGAAGGCGACTAGACTGACTTACTACCAGTGCAATGACTATCACAGGTACTGTATTGAAAAACCAGATCACTGTCCTTTCTTCCTCCTTCGAAGCTTAAGGAACTACGAATAGAGGCTTCAAATCCTGGCGACGATCCACAAATCGGGCTACTACTATCAGCGCAACATGCACGGGAGATCGGTACGACGACCCAAGTCACTACATGTAGTAAACGAGTGCCCGACAACCCGGTCGGTGTTTCTCTGACACAAACATCCGATACTCCATTTTACCAAATGGTCGGATCCGTGAGCCAATTTTCTCATGAAGCCCCGGTGCACGAAAAGAGGGGTTACATATCACGTTTTCCCAATCCGCCTTTTACGCCGCTCTCCCGCAGGACGATCTTACCCGACCCCGGCGCGTGTTGCGCTCGGCGGCATTCCGCAACGCTTCAACAGCTTCTGTATGGCGTCCAACGGCATCGAACGTTCTTTCTTGGTCGACCAACAACATCCAACAATCAAGCAACCAAAGCCCGATTCATGTACTCAGAGCCAACGTGAGAGCAAAGGAACCTTTGAGTCGCCGGGCGTGGGCTGGACCCCTCGTTTCGATATGCAGGATGGCTGTTTGCCTACCAGGGGGTCCTTCACAGCCAATCAAATTCCCGCATTTCCTCTCATTGTTGGTGCGATTTGTCCTGTCAGATATCAAAAGCATGTTGGTTTGTCGTTGGGCCACAGGAACGGACATTCCCCCGAAGTCTCCACGATTTCCCGCCTTTCCATCGGTTCTCCCACCTCCGTTGCGGAGTTCGTTCGACTTCATGTCATAAGAGAAAAAGAAACAGTTTCGCCATAATAGTATCTTACGCTCGAAAACAAATCCTTGCAACCTTACTTTTTTTAAGCTTTCGGCGCATTAGTCTACCCGAATTTCTAATAAGGCTTGCCAATTCCAAACATTTGGTCTGTTGATCGTCTATCGTGCCACCCATCAACGATGTCGGCCCCAGCGGCGCCACAACCCTCAGCCTCCCTAGAGGCTGTCGAGATACCGGACGATGTCTCTATGACGACATCCGTGGATGAGGAAAGCGAGCTCGAGTCCGACGGCGAGGAGTCGGACCTAGACTCGTCTCTGGGCGCTGAAGTGCAACCTTCCACAATGTCTCTGCGCAGCAGCATACTCCGTTACCGAGAGGAGAATGGCCGCACATACCACGCCTACAAGGATGGTGCCTATCTCTTTCCTAACGACGACCTCGAACTCGATCGCTTAGACCTCCAGCATAACCTATGTCTACTCACCCTCGGCGACAAGCTGCATCTATCCCCGTTGAGTAAAGACCAGCCACCGCAACGGGTTTTGGATGTCGGTACAGGGACAGGCATCTGGGCGATTGACTTTGCGGACGAAAACCCCGGCTCGACTATCATCGGCATAGACTTGAGCCCGGTACAACCTTCATACGTTCCGCCTAACGTCTACTTCCAGATTGATGATATTGAAGACGAACCTTGGACATTTTTACAAAAGTTTGATTTCATTTACAGCCGGATGAACACGGGTGGTATTAGAGACTTTCCCAAGTTGTTCCGGCAGTCATTCGCAAATCTTAACCCGGGAGGCTGGTTCGAGTGTGCCGACGGCGCGCAAGCCATGTCTGATGATGGCACACTTACCAAAGAGTCCGCACTGTATCAATGGAACCAGTTTCTGTTCCAAGGGACAGGGGAGCGGGGGACACCGTTTGGTGGAGCCACACATTACAAGCGACAACTTCGAGAGGCGGGATTCGTGAATGTGAAGGAGGTCGTCTTCAAATGGCCGACAAACAGATGGGCTAAGCACCCAAGGCACAAGGAGCTTGGTAAGTGAAGCAGACTCTCTATATCTCAACCCATCTGGAGACTAGCTTTTCGTACCGCACCGCGTTTCCAACCTGCCATTGAGTTATGAAACCTTCTTGATACTGACAATGTGGCTAGGTTCATGGAACCACGAAAATGTGATGATGGGGCTGGAGGGTCTCAGTGTTGGGCTATTTACTCGGGTTCTTGGATGGTCAAGGGAGAGCGTTGATGTTTTCCTTGCCGAAGTTCGAAAGGATTTGAGCAACACGGCGATCCATGCATACTGGCCAGTGTACGTATCAGATCATCAGCAATCTGTGAAACTATACTGACGTCAATCATAGTCATGTCGTATACGGACAAAAGCCATCATAGCGATGGCGTTGCATTATTTGATCACGATTTACGCCACTTCCGCATTCTTTCAGCTGGAGTTGTATCATGACGGCATTCTCCATGCATGAGATTTTCCTGAAGCACATTTATCTGTATGTACGGATATATACGATGATCCTTCCAGCTCTTTACCACTGTTGCTCTCGATTGTCACCACTCAGACTACATAAAACAAGGATATCTCATGTTAAAACGCTTGTGAACCTCATAGTCGCGCTTGCTGCTCTAATCAATATTGCTAACCCTCTGAGACTGATTTCAGCAGGTAGGCTTGGACCTCTGGTCGTTGAGGGGCTATATGTAACTGCCTTGCTCCTAGTGAACCTTCCGGGTTGAGTGGTTTAACGACACTAAACACGTTAGAATGCAATCAAGTTGGAATCGGCGGCGAACCAATGACCTACACATTCGACAAACTAGACCACAGTTGTCAGCTTTGGCTCCATCACACGAGCAAGTTCAAGATAACTTACACCTCTTCCTCCAAGGCACGATTGTAAAACTGGACGTCCGTTGCCAGGATACGAACAAATTCGGGGAACTGGAAAGTCGCTGGATGTTTTGATGTTCTCGCCCTCTTGACACTGTGGATGTGGTGAGCAAAGGACAAATTCAAGGCTTCAAAAACCTTACGCAGTATGTGTTAGGCTGCAAGTCATTATTAGTGCTGCCTCCCAAAGATCGACTTGAGGTTCTTAAACTTACGTAGACTCCAGGGCATGTTGATCCCGCCGGCTTGCCCCATCCGTAATTGCAGACAGCGGCGTTGGAAGACGCAGCAAGGGCGACGATGACGGCGGTGGTGTACTTCATTTTGAGCTTCGGCGGGGCTTGAATAACCAAGAACTGTGTCGTTAGAACTCGAATGCTGCGAAACGGGGAGAAAGATATCGGATTTGTGATCCAATAAATACGACAACACGTACACTGATTCTACATCTCTTTTAATATTGATTGAGGCAGAAGATATGCATCATATTGTAGTCTCACTAACTTTATTATATTAAAGCGTTCATCAAACCGTGGGTCAAAGCGGGCGGCCCCGAGTCAGTTCATGGCTGTAATGCTCGCTCTTTCCACATTTGCTTCGTTTTCGGCTACGACGGTCCGCTGCCTGAGTCCGAGCCAAGTAGGTAGCTATCATTTGCGCATGGCCGGTAGTCAGTAATTCCAGATTATGAGCAAGGCCTGATGGCAAAGGATGCCGAGTCACGTCCTTGGGAGCGGTTGTCCATGATCCAGTGATCGATCACACCCATAATCATCGCAGAGCACGTACAACTAATTAGTGGGTTCCCAATAGCTGGACACTGCGGATTGACACTTCGGGGCATATACTAATTACTACTAAGACCAGAAACCGATACAGCCTCATTCACGCTCGCGTTCGGACCCATGTCTGACCCGCCTTCTTAGTACATGCCACGAGGACAACGAAGAGGGCCGGCCGGTCGCAACCCACCCGCGTATCGGCGTGCGAGCGCGCTTCCCGTGGATGGATCCCGCGGCCGTTTTGTGTCGGTGTAGCGGGCTTTGCCAAGCTGCCATCCTCGTTCCTAATTTGAATTTGGATTAGGCCAGCAAAATGAATGCCGATCAGAACCTCAAAGGATTCTCCCTCTGCAAAAGCAGTGCCTCTTGTCCCAGGAATCTGTTTAAGTTTTCGATCTCGACGCTGGAATTCCTTCTGGTCAAGAGGATTGATGCAAATCATGACCAGGATGGCAACTCTTCAGTAGGAGGTTCCGATGGAAAGTCGTGGATCGATTTATTCGGCGCGGAAATTGGAACCTAACTACATGGCGAGTTGAGCAGTTGAACCTTCAGCCTGGCAGCTAATGGCAAGGTTGACATTTGACAGAATGATCCGAGGTGAGCGGAGTATCTGAGATAGTAGAAGACCAGCGAGTCCGATATCAACAACCTGCTCAGACAAAGTGTTCAGGTCAGCACTACCTCTCAATCAGTACTTTGTGGGCCATGCGTACCTCAGGTCTTTGGAGCGGCCCAGGCTCTGTAAAATGGGGGGTTCGAGATCCCTGACATTTCCGACACAGGTCTTAATTCCAGTATAGTCACCGAGTGATACGGATATCTCGGCAACATCGGGAACTAGTTTGAGCAGCCATAGCCACGCAGAGAGGCCTAATTTCATCTTACCCTGGACACCCGCACAGTCAAGCGGATGACTTCGTTATTGATCGTGTCACTCTGGGTAATACATCAGTTCCGTATTCTCGAGGTCCTGGTTGCCATGAATGTCTCGCTTCCGGTCCGCTGCCTTCAGCTCGCGGCCAGATTTCGCGGAACACCTCGTGCAATAGACCTTCCATCAAGCCAGGTACCGTGCCAGCTGTAGCTCTCCAAGTGTTAAACTTGTCCCCAATCAATAGGGCAGACACCTCCGATCTATGATCGAACCTATAGTCGCGTCGAACATCCCAAGGTCGGCCAAGGATGCTGCAGAAAGCTTTGACGTCTTGCCCTCTTCCCTGCAGCTGTTCCGCCCACGACCAATCGTCAACCCGCAACTCTAATTTTTCCAAGTTCTGGTGCTGGGAAGTTCCTCCCTCTGTTGAGATGGCGTGGAAGATTGCACAAGCCAGCGTCTCATCCACCGCCACGTTGATGAGTTGGTCCCGATACTCTTCTCGGTAGTTTGGGTTCAACCTGTCCACAGCAGCTTCTATATTGACTCCCCCAGGCGCCATAGTCGCTAGTAAAGATAGTGTCCTACGGTCCTGCGGGAACTGTCATCCTCGTTGCATGGGCATGAGACGTAGAGATAATTTTCGAAGGCGTCGCATTTTACCGAGCGCTACGTAAATAACCATCTCCTCCTCATCTCCCTTGGAGCGCCGTATCCTTATGGCTAGGTCCTCGAGCAAGGGCCAGCGCTGTGCGATGAGAGTAATGACCTGGGCGTTGTATGGGTCTGTAGCGTACCTGTTGCTCTGCAAATCCAAAGCTCGCAAAGCGAAGCTGCAAGACGGGCTGAACAGTTTTCCAAGATGAAAGCTGTTCCAGCCAGTCACCTCCAGCGTCCAGAGCTTCGTGCGTCGATCGATAAACCGCGTGATCAGTCTCTCTCGCTCGTATCCCGGGTCGTCCATCGAAGACAAGTCGAAGATGTTCAAGACCAGGTTCTTGAGGAATGGAAATGAGCAGGCGTCCAAGAGTTCGAGCCCCTGTGGGCCCAGAGGTTCTGGCAGTCTGAGGACTCGTAGAGCGTCAAAGTCAATGAAGCGACCTCATTTCTGATGAAGGCTGTAGTCTGACAACTCCGAATCCCATTTTAAGTGGAAAGTTCGCAATGACTTGCGGTGTTGCGGAAAGCATGAATCTAAACCCTTCGCGCCGCTCCAGGAAGCCTCATGTAGCTCATAGGGGGAGTCCTGATCAGACTCGTATGCGATGCGCACTTCCTGTAGCCCTGGTGCCGTCCTAGTAAGCATCCGCATTACGGTCGTATTGAGCTGGTTCACAGCCGGATAAATATGAAAATGCGAGCAGTCGATGCTGTAAAGGTTTGGAGAATGCACAAGGTCAAGTTCGTATTTGTCAGGACGTGAATCCCGTAGCGAGAGTAGGTTGAAAGTGGATAGATGAATTCTGCATCTAGGATGGTATTGTTTCAAGGTGGCGAACAGTGAGGGAGGGAATTGAGTAGGACATGTGAAGAGGATGTCACTCAAGTTCGACAGTTCTTTGATGAGCCTGGCCATTGGTGACCAAGCCGAACTACTATCGTAGGTCCACTGGCAGTTGGCATATTCTTCCCAATAGTTACGCGTACCCACTGGGTTCCAGTCGTCCATCTTTCTTGCGTCGTCTTCGGCCACCTCGGCGGCAAACATGCGACCTTGTTTCCATCCGGACTGACGTGGATCATAACGGTTCTCTGTCAAGTAAGGGACGTTCGCATAGTCCTTTCCGGGTGTCGGTGGCTCGCCCCAGATGGAGATCTGGCGGACTTGAGACAAGAGATCGTTTTTGCGAAGCATTAGTTCGCAACTCAGAGTATTGAGGTGCAGGGTGTGCCAGGCGCCTGGAAACTCGTCATCGTCAATGATAAAATCGATATTGCGGACCAAGATGCCGATGGCAGCGTCACGGCATGTCTTGTTGACTGCAGAGAATGAGGCGAGACTTGGAGCGCGATCGTCATAGTACAGAATCTCGCAGATGTTGACTAAGAGCTCTCGCGGTAAGGTATCCAGAGTCCATTTGAGACGAGGAGGCATCTTTCCGGATTGAAAGGGCCATAGTTTGACTACTCAAAAGACACATCAAACGGATTGCGACGTTATGGACAAGATATCTGCCCCAAAGGGAGGCAAGTTTTGTTTGGTGAAAAACTGCAACATTTGCGCTGAATCAGATGAACCTTCTTCTATTATGCTTATAAGGGTGTACGGCGCTTAGCCCAGCTGGGCTAGCCCCTGCATTCGAGGTTTGACTTTGATCAAGTCACCTACCAAGTACCATGCACTGGGTGGGTCGCCACAACGCCAGAAACCGCAACTTAAGTGCAGCAAGCTCATCACTTCACGACTCAAAAAGAGGACAGTCACTCTACAGAACGAATTAAAAACTGGCTGGCTTTCATTGAAGCGGAGCGTCCATCTAGGCAAGAGTCTGTCTGTATCCATAAGAAGGGGTTATTTTGGCATGTCATTGAGGCACGATCAACACGCATACGAGGGTCAAAAACAACCAACATCAACACCGGGCGTAGGCAACTATCACCAGAGACAAAAGTAAATAAGGTCCATCCAGGATTCGAACCTGGGCCTACGGAAGGTTCTGAGAATCAGAATCCGACGTCCTAACCAACTAGACTAATAGACCGGTCGAAGCGAGATTGATACCCGCTGTTGCTGTGGGCTCCGTGAGCGCTTCCGCAATTGAAGTTTGGTGGTGGTTAGGCGAATCGAAATTGCAGCTGTGGTGGAGACGAGGACAACTGACAGTCCACCTGAAATCGCTCGTAAGACAAGCCATGACATGGTCTTTAGATCTCGTTGAGTCAGTTAAAGCTTTTTACATCAATTAGTTGGCCTTCAAGCGGGGAGTGACTTTGGTGAGTGCGTTCATTGTATGATGAAGGGTCTCGGAAATTCGGATTGCCCTAGCTACGTTTCTATGCTAAGGCGTCTTATATACCATCGGAATTCGCGCTATGCAGGTCAACAGGATCTACATTGTTTCAAGCCAGAAGGAGACCTATAGGAGCCGGTTGCTGCAGTAAGATACTAGGTCCAGCCACGACCGTATTCAAATCGGGAGCCCCCGAACAATCTGCCAGCACCGCAATAATGATTCCCTTGGTTTCAAATTCGGCTGGAATTGTCACTTTGACGAAATCGCCAGCTGTCCATCCTGATACATCAACCGATACACTGGTGTTCCCTACAGCATGGAAGAAGACCGCGTAATAGCTCTTTCCATCGTCAAATTTGGGCTGATCAGCCGCGTTTGTGAAGTTGAACGAAATTTCTGACCCCGGAGCAATAGACTTTGTCCCAGTCGCGGCCGACATAGCCGGCAGGTGCTGGTTCGGGCTGGGATACTCCGGATTTGCTGACGGACAACTTCCCGGCACAATAAAGGCGTTTGTCAGGTCGAGAATCTCGTTGGCGTAGGGAAACACGGTATCGCTCGGTCCGGAAAACGGGTTCGCCCCCCAGACGTCCAGCAGTGACCATGTCTCATGCCTCGACTCTACTGTCGCAATAGCCACCATGGCGCCGCGCGCAGCTTCGCTCTTAGGTTCTTGGATCAGACCGGTCAAGAAGGCCATGCTGGCGATTTCGAGGTAGGTGGTCAACGCTAAGAAGCTCGTGGCGTCCACAAACGGGTATTCGTACTTGCATGCTCCCGGCTTGACACTGGTGTTGGAGATCTGGTTCTGAAAGATGCGAAGATGTCCAGCCTCATTGTTACGGATCTCCGTGATACGATCATAAGTCGTGTTCGGGAAGCCAGCAGCGACGAAGGAGGAAGTGTTGAAGGCTTCAACGCCTTGTTGGTAGAAGCTGAAGATGGCCCATTCGGCTGCCAAGAGATTTTGCCAGACTTGGTCGTCCGGGCCCGGGTCCCCCGATACTGTAGGGAGGATCGGCGCAGTGATATTTCCGGGGAACGGAGGTGCCTTGCCCTTGTAGTCGCTGAAGAGGGTTGACTGTCCTGGGATGGGGCCGTATGTTGGATCAGCGAGTTTCTGGGCTTCGGGATCTGGTGTTGGTGCAGCTATGGTAGACAAAGATAGCATTGCTAGGCATGAGCCAAGTAGCATTGGGTGGATAGATGTCCGCATGTTGAGTAATCAGAGGTGAGGAAGCGTAGGTAAGAGAGGTATGGCGAAACAGTGTTTGTTTACTACTGTAGAGGGCGATACTATGAAAATGACTACATGATGATCAATGGAGGTATACCGATTTTATACAACTTTCTCATTGACCTCATGGCGAACAAAGTTGTTGTCTCCCATATGGTTTCGGCACTTGCGAGGAAGATCTCCCCAATTTGACGTCAGATTTGATGTCCAAAGTGACGACTTGACTTGCTATTGTCAATTCTTGGAGTTGATTGGATCATGATGCAAGAGTCGACGGTCTAAGAGCTGTCAAGACTAGCTGTAAAAGGTTGTATTCTCGAGCTCAAGGCCGGGAAGCTGGACAACCTCGAGAAATGCTACTATTCGGGAATGGTTCAGGACACTTTCAGCTCTAGCTGCAAGCCTAGGTGCTAAGCCTTGCCAAGCTAGCGGGACGAAGGCTGATCTGCTCTGCCCATCTCGGTCGAGCTCATCCGACTGGGGCTTATCTTCCGGCAAGCCGGCACACATGACGCAGGCCGACGGCGAAGTCGCGGTTCGGCCTCGGCCAAAGTTGCGGCACAGTGTCAGCAAGGGAGAGGTTAATTGTGAAGAACATGGGCGGCAGTGACTTTGGCCGCTGCCCATCTACCCCACCATCCAGTGACTTGCGTGAATGTCCACTGCGTCCAATGCCTTCTCGGGAGTTTCTCGTTCGACACTTACTCGACCTGGTCCTGCGACTCACAGAATATGATGTTGGAGCACCGTTCTGCGGCTTTGTCGTCTTATTTCGCAACGAGAGCCGATCACCTCCATCGTGCTTGCAAATCGAGTTCTTGTCGCTGGTTCAGAATAATGGAAGAGAGTCCAAGCTTATGAACACTCAGTTTCGCCCACTTCACGGGCAAATATCCCTTGGGGGAAACAAAGTGGATTGAATCACGCCAAAGACCAAAGATCTCCAGTTTTTCTCCAAGAATACGGGGAGAAAAAGACGTTGATTGGCAAGAAACTGAGATGATCCTTGGCTAGATATTACTCCTCACTCTCTCGACCCCATCCAGGCTGTCACCCACTTGCTACCCGGTGGGATACAGGGTTCCGCTGAGTGCTTTTGTCAGCTATTGCGATCTACACAGAGTAACAACACCTTTCACGAAAATGAGGTGGCCTCGGAGGTAGTGTCGGCTCCCCCACCATCGGATCAGATAAGATGCATCAGATTAGATAAACTGGATCTGATTCGATGAGGCGCATCATGTACGAAGAGTTTTCAGTCTTGGCATTACGCTCAATTAACCGTAATTAGCTAGGGCGGGCAGCATGAAATAGCTCGACCTTCCCCCAGTGGACGGTGATGGGCTGTTGCGCGCACCCATCCAATCCACCCCGTTCTCCGGATGCCACGCTACGCACTACATGTAGTCTCGCGGGCCGTTCTGAGTGCTGAAGATTTGCTGAAGAGGGAAAATCTGCGGATCCCCATTGCGACATTCCGTCATGGTGTACTTATGGTCTACCATACTCCGTACATACAAGCAAGAAAAAAATAGGTTTACAAGGGTGGTCAGCAATATATACCGGCCGTTCCCAGCCCTCGCAAAAATGGCGCACATCTTCGCGCGAGCGAAAGTCTGAAAAGTCTTGGTGGTTTTGTTTTCTTTCTGTTTAGAAAACTACGCTTCGGTGTTCCTCCTCACGATCTAGAGGCTAGTTGAGGCGGTTTTCCCCCCTCAACCCCCCACGCGATCGCAAAGATGGCTCTCCTCAGCTTCGTCACGTCGCAAAACTTTGAGAAGCTCAGTGTTCTCCTCCAATGGAAGCTTCTCGTATTGGCCGCGATCCCCGTTGCTGTGGTATACTACCTCAGACGGACGAAAACCACCCAGGGTATCGACATCAAGCAATACTCTCACTTCCCGCAGCCTGAAGAGGCTGACCCAGTGAGGGGCCATTGGCCGTGGATTGAGAAGTCCGCCGGTCTGGGTGATCCTAGAAGGGCTTTTGGTACGTTTCAAATCTAGGAAGTCAGTGGTGAAGACATCTCGGCGGCGATGTAGTCGGATCAAGTTGTGGCCTTTCGGGAAATGAGACACAGGTCATGCAACGTGCTGATACTCTGCGACTATGTAGACGAGATTCTCTACGAACAGGCTGAGAAGCTTGGATTTCCTCCCGTTCTATTGGTGGACTGGCGCCCGATCGAAAAGTTCCTTATTCTTTTCATCCTCGACAATGAGGTTGCCGAACAAGTCACCAAGCCCTCGAAGCAGTACAGTACTAGCGTGCCGAAGCACCCCGCCATCCAGCATCTGGCCCCCCTGGTCGGCGCACGATCTCTCGTAACGACGGATGTAAGTCCATCACATGGTGCTGCTGTGCTTGGGTAGGATCGTGAGACTGACAGGGTGCTGGCACTTTAGGGTGAGGAATGGAAGGGTCTGCGAAAGAGAATTCTTCCCGGTTTTGCGCCGTCACATCTTCTTGGTCTCGTCAAGGTCATCTTGGACAAGTCGGAAACTTTCATCGAGCTCATGGAGCAGAAGGCCGCCACTGGCGAAGAATTTACCATCGACGAGTACACCACTAACCTGGCCTTCGACGTTATCGGTGAGTTTAGGAAATCATCTCTAGGATTTGGGGCTTATGCTCATTGACAATACCAGGCATTGTCACTTTTGATATGGATCTCAATGCTCAAATCGAGGGCAAGCAGAGCGAGGTGCTACTTACATACCGCGCCTTGTCACAAGCCTTCAACAAGCGTATCCCCGGCAAGAACTGGATGCGTGAATACTTCACCGAGAACGAACGCACCCTCAGACGCTTGGACAAGAAGCTCGACGGCATCCTCAAGGAAGAGATCAAGAAGCAGCACAAGGAGCTCCTGGCCGGTGCCGACACCGCATCCCGCAGTGTTGCTACCCTCAGTCTCCAGGGCATCGACGTTCTGACCCCCGAGATCCTCCAACAGACCAGCGACACCCTCCGCGGTTTTCTCTTTGCCGGCCACGACACAACGAGTATTCTTCTGCAATGGTGCTTTTACGAGCTTCACAGACGGCCTCAGTCCGCCAAGGATCTGAAGGATGAGCTTGACGAGGTCTTTGGCCCGGATCAGAGCCCCAAGTCTGTCATTGAGCAACTCAAGAGCCCCGAAGCTGGAAAGCTTCTCGCCCGCCTGCCTTGTAAGTTCAAGATCTTTTCCACGTCATTTCTACCCTCGGAGCAGCTAGCTGACCGCCGCGCAGACACCGACGCAGTGATCAAGGAAGCCTTGCGCCTGCACCCTCCCGGAACAACAGCCCGCGTTGCGCCCCAGGGATCCGGCACGACCCTGACCCTCCCCAACGGACAAAAGCTGGTCGTCGACGACCTCTGCGTTACCCCCAGAGCCTACATCATTCAGCGCCACCCCAAGATCTTTGGCGAGACCAAGGACGACTTCATGCCCGAGCGGTGGCTCGGCGAGGAGGGCGCCAAGATCCCAGACAGCTGCTTCAGGCCCTACGAGAGAGGACCTCGTCGGTGCACCGGATCCGAGCTCGCCAACTTGGAAGTGCGCATCATCTTGGCCTGCATCGCGAGATACTTTGAGTTTGTCAAGGTCGGGCAGGGTGAGCTTGACCTGGATGAGAAGGGACAGCCCCAGCTTGACGAGAAGGGTTTCTACAAGACAAAGTCTGTCATGTTCTCTGTGAGTGAAGCCCCACTGCCCTTGCGATTGAGACGAGTTCCTTGTACTTTGTACTGATATCCCCCCCCCCCCCCCACAGACTCACTTGGTTACTGCTAAGCCTGTCGATGGCATGAAGGTGAAGGTCCAGATCAAGGGACAACAAGCGTAATCTTCCTCACATGATACCACCACGAATGAACAAAATGCATCAGCATACGATAACTCGACGGTCCGACGCGTTTGTCTAGACACGGCTGGTGGGGGGGATCTGGGGCCGCAGCGCCCCATTTCAAGCCCCATCTACTCTGTATGATAGAGAATGCTTGACCCTGACGACGATATGCTGGATGCGATGAATGTATATAACCATTAGTGTGTTTATGGTTTTTCTGGAAGAATGCTTGACTGGAAGACTGCCGTGTAGCATAAGATATCCGTGATTCGCGACTCATTCGACTGTCGTCAAAGGAAACGTGTTCACTAAACAGGCGCTCTGGGCCAACCTTCTCCGGGCGAACCCGTCATGGGTCCGGCACTTGCCTTCACAGCTTGTTTCTCTCGCCCACCATGTGCACTATTACAGAGGGGTTGGAGGGGTAGAGGGGCATTCTGCATGGGCCGTCCGTTGTCGGCGAGCTAGAGTGGACTAATGCAAGCAGATGGGGTCTGCAACGTTCCCATGTCTGGTCACTGGTTTTTATGGAAAGTTATGCAGGCCCGCTCGCTTGTGATAGCGAACTACGTCGATAGCTTACACAAGTTCATTCACACAGTGCTTGCAAGTTGCCTGCTGAGGGTCTCGATCATGCATTCATCGTATGAATTTCGGGCTCGTCTACAAGGACGGGATGAGAAACAAGACGACATCATCTCTCACAATTGATTTCGATCGTGCTCGCAGAGTTGGCATGCCACTTTGCAATAACAGCTGAAGAAGACAATGAACGTTTTGTAGTGCCTTCGATTGCTAACCTCTGAGGATGGTACTCTATATGTATTCTGTCTCTCCATGCAGGGGAAGCAGAGGCTTTACAACTTTACAACCAAGTTGGTTTTATTCTCCATGTCGACGACCTTGAAAAGCTGCCCACGACTCCATATTATCTCTGATAATTCCTCACACCTTCCGTCAATTCCAATGGGGTATCAATCTCAGCCAACAATCTCCATCACTCTGGTTCTCGGAACCCGCGGCCCATAGCCTCTACTCCACAGTTCCAATAGCCAAACCTAACGCTGCCATAGTATGGTCGCCAAAGGCATCGTCCATAGGAACGCATTTACAGACGCCGTTACCCCAATTGAAGATGGAAACGCCCTCCTCGTACGGCGGCAGCGGCTCGTCGGATTTGGCCATACGGTCGTCCTTGTTTCCAAAGATAGCGCCGATGGAGACGCAGCGACAGAGCCTGTTCCTCCAGGGAAATACGCCAGGGGTCTTTGACTTGGTGTCCCTGGCCGAAAGCTGAGTGGGCTGGATTTCGGGGGCGACATCGTAGTCGCAAGTGACGTCGTTTTCGCTGAGATCCGACATGACGGCTTCTTCCTCATCGGGTAACGTCTCCATGTCATCTGAGGAGGATGTTGTAGATGACTTGGGTGCCTCTACTTCGACCGGCATTCTCAGCTCTTTTGAGAAGTCAGAGGCGTCAGAAACAGCGGCTGGCGAGGCAGATGAAGTAGAGGCGGTGGCGGTAGGTGAGGTTGGCAGCACAGGTATCGCCGCAGCGTCAACGGCATCATTGACGCTGTTGCCACTACTCGTAGTCCGCTTGACGATGATAATATCGGTCTTGGGGAGCTTCTTGACTGAGACTGAATCTGAGCCGGTAGTGGCGAGTAAACGCTTGAGGTCACCCACGTCTTTATGGAAGAACATGACGTCGCCGAGTTCCACCTGCTTGGTGTTGGGTGTAGTGATGCGGCCGTCTGTGTGGTCTTCAGCCTTCTCCGCTTTATCGAAGAGGTTATTAAGGAGTAACCCAGCAGGAAGGAGGTCCTTGAGCTGCATTGCGGTGGTGGTGGTTGTTTGTACTGGTGAGTGGTGATTTCTTGGTTTGTCTGACTTTGAGGGCCTTGAGAAGCGGGATGTGACTGAAGGACTGAATAGTATAATGTAGGAACTGCGGGTATGATGTAGACTGCAAGGCCTTTGGAAGAATGAAGACTTACATCGGAGAAAAAGAGAAGTTTTTATATAACCTATGAACTAGGACTAGTCCGTACAGGTTCTCTCCGGAGATACAGTACCAGGGCTTTCGAAAAGCTAAACGATCCAAGGGCTGAGGATTTCACGATGCTAGAGAACCCGGTCATTCCGTGCAGGTTGAGCAAGTCTCCAAGCCTCGAAAGGTGCGGACCACGGGCGGGAGAGGGCGAAATGGTTCCCAGCCACGAAGCCATGATGGTCAGATGTAGGTCTCAGGGTCCGGTCATTGCTATCCAGAGCTCCTCAAGAGATCTCGGGAAGGTCACGTTATGCCCAGGTGATTATACTTCCATTGATTTCACCACCGCTATCCTCAAGACAGTTTTGTTGTAGCATAGTACTCGCAATAGCAAGACTTCATCACTGTTTGCCTGTATCATGGGTGCCATTTCAGACGTCTAAGCCCAGCGCCAACCCGTTTGGAGGATGACTCTAGTATACACGACGAAGCGTGGGAACCATAAACTCAATTACTCGGCGAAAACCGGCTCCATCATATCTGACTCTTCCTTCATCCCAAGGACCACAGACACCCAGGTCTTCACCTAATACCCAAACCCCTCAAGACACCCAACAAGCTCCCCCTCTGCGACCGCCCTCATCTCCTCAATCTCCTCTCTCGTCTTCCGCCTCAACATGACAGGATGCTCCAGCGCAAAAGGACACGCCAGCGTCTCCAGCCTCCTCAACCCATCCAGCGCAGCCATGCCCTCAATCTCACTAGGCCGCAGCGCGCCCCTCCCCTTCAACGCATCATCCCACGCTCGCGCCGTCGTGAGCTGCCCTGCCGCCTCCTGCGGTAGTCTCGCCCGGATCCCGTCAAAGTCGCCCGTCAACATCGCCTTGCCTAGCAAACCCCCGCTGAGATCCGGGTCCCGCCCCGTGCCGCCGCCCGTGTTGCCGCCGACGTCGCCCAGCGACGTGAAGAATTCGTGGCAGGGATGGGAGACGAAGGCAAAATCGAAGTCGAGGATGGATGTGAGTTTCTTGGTAGTTGGGTCGTAGAGGGTGTTGTTCGTAGCTAGTAGCGGAATGTCAGTAAGCTGTGTCGACTCGATAACGAGACCAAACTTGAACGTGGCAGCATGTAACTTACTCAGATCCCCATGAATGAGAGCCAACTTCCCAACATCAACACCAGACCCATCGAGATATCTCTCTAACCCAGACTCCAGAAACCTATCAACACGCTCCCGGACACCATTCGGCCTCCACCCCTCCAGCGCAGGACTCGCATCCGCATCTCCCAGCCGAATTGCCAGCCTCGCCTTCCAGAAATCGCTATACCGCTTCCAAGGCCCGCCCTTCACCGTCGTCATCGCACCACCCACAATCCTCCCCTCCTCATCAATCGACAGGCCCCCATGAGACCTCACACTCTCCGGCAAAGAAACCCTCTGAATCCCCGTAACCAGATCTGCAATCTGCCCCAGCACATCACTCTTCTCCCCGTCATCCATGTCCCGAAAGACGGTATCAAGCGGCACGCCCTCCTTGAACTCCATCAGACTCCACCCGTAGCTGCTGCTGCTGCCTCCCGCCCCAATCCCCACCACCGCCTCCGTCTCCGCGTTCTCGGAAGGCCGATAGGGCCGCCAATCATACAACGCCGGTACGAGCTCCGCAATCTCGGGCCTATACGAACCCAAACCCTCGCGTGCGAGGTGAATCGCCGCGACCTCGTTCTCGACGCGGTTGTCTTGGACGACGCCTTCTGCTTTCGGGTTCGCGATACGCATTACTACGGTAGAAGTACCCTGCCCGGGAGGAGGCTGAGTGTAGGGCCGGCGGCGGTCATGGGGGACGGAGGATGGGGTTAGGGGCGCGGAGAGGGTGATTTTGTAGATGTAGTTGTTGTAGGCAAAGGGGGCTGTTTCATCGTAGTCTATGGGGGTGATGTCGACGGGCTTGAAGGGGATGTTAGATGGTTATGAGTGAGGGTGAGGGTGATCTTACTTCAAGGCCGTAGTTGTGGATGACGCTCTTTACGAGGTCTAGGCGTTCTTGGTATCGTTCGTGGTTCATGATGGACGGTGGACGAGATGATTCCGAGTTGCGGGATAGTGTGAATGCTTTAGGGTAAGGTGATGGTTCAACCAGTGTTGGAACCTTTCGACTCAGGCAACACGAGAATATCATGGCGTCTTAAGTAAATGCCAAATTGAGATGATACCCTCCAATCGTCGCAATACACCCTTACTCAAACAAGAACAGTTGACTCATAAATCTCAGAGAGGAAGGAGTTTAATCCGTTTCTCTCATCCAAGTCTGCTGTTTCTATTGCACGTGCCAAGGAACGGCAGGAAACGAAACGATAAAGCAAACGCAGGTCATCATCGAAACCTTCCACACATGGATGAACTTAGGGCCTTGCCGCTGAGATGATGCTGAGCTAAACAAATCGGATCAAGTCCGAGACACTAGACATGTCTGCTCCATCAAACGCTGGTCTTAGTTCAGGCCATGACATGCAGCCGTAGACTCGCCATGATCCCTGCTAGCCCTTTGCTGCCTGGAGGTAACGCCTCGAGAACGTGCAAAGCACGCGTATCTGCCTAAGCTGTGCCGTACAGATGCATGAGATAGCGTTTGAGGTGATTGACCCCAGGAACTCACTTGGAAGTCATCGTATGTCAACTCTGCGATGAGAGGAAGAGAGTGGTTGTGAGGCGAGGGCGGATTCTGGTGGGCTTGCCCCGCTGATAGATCGGCTTGGAGGTGGGACCTTGCCGGCCCGAGTTCGGACACGGAGGGTCCGGGGGCCATCCTTGCCGCGGGCAGCCGCAAAAAAACTCAGGGCTTGCGGGCTGCGACCTTGATGAGTTGGCGCAGCTCCAATATTTTCAACAATAGCTGGTTTCGTGGTGTAGTTGGTTATCACGTCAGTCTAACACACTGAAGGTCTCCGGTTCAAGTCCGGGCGAAATCAAACTTTTGCCTTCCGGAAGCTTGTCCTCCTTTTTGCGACCGTGGGATGAACTTTTTCTACCTACGGTCTTCTCATTGGGTACCATGGTGGCATGATATTGATCGTCTCACAGTGAGCTGGGTTTAAATGGCTTCTATGCCTCTTAACTCCTCTGACAACGGATTGGAGATCTTTCACCTCAGCTGTCAATCACACCCACAATCCGCCCAACGACACGATCCCACTCCTCATCCCAGCGTAAGCTCCCCTCCTTTATGGCCCCTGCCTTCAAAGTCTTCAGCTCTCCCTTGCCGCTCTCACTTAGTAGCCTGATCAGTACCTCAGCCAGCTCGGTGGCCGTCTCAAATCCGCACCCATTCTCGCCCTCCTTGATCAGCTCGCCGAAGCTCTCATATGCAGAGTATGCAGCCACAGGCAGTCCCGAACCAAACATGTCAACCACCTTCATGGGCAAGTCGACACCAGAGCTAGACTTGTGCAGGCAGACACCAAGGTCGGCACACGAGAGCAGCGTGGCGTACTCGCGGGTTGATAGCCACGCAGTCAAGATGGTGATACCGGGGAGCTTGCCCTCCAGGCGGAGATTTTTGATCTGTTCCTCGTACTCGGCCTTCTGAGGTCCCTTGCCGGTGATGATGGCCAGAATTGGGGGCCGGCCAGCGCCGTTCTCTGTGACGGCCTCCTCGGGGTGTGCGTAGGCCACCAAAGCGTCCAGCAGCAGGCCGAAGTCCTCGTCAGGGGTCCATGAGGTGCTGCTGACAATGAGGCGAGTGGTACCGGCGATGATGCTGTCGGCAACATCCTTGGTCTCCTTGAGATGCGAGAGAAATTCTTGCCGGGCTTTGGTCGACGCAATGGGCTGGAAAACCTCAGCTGGTCGGTCGTGCAGGGTGAAGATGGGCTTCTTGTTGCTATAGGGCTTCTCCTTGAGCTGCCGCGCCATGGCGTCGGTGACGGTAAGGTTGGCCGTGGGGACCACCCTTCCGAAGTACATCTCATACTTCTTGTAGAGCCATACCAGGGGGTTCTTCTGGCTGCGGCCAGTGGCCATGATGGACCAACCATAGTTGTGCCAGTCAATGAGCAGGTGGCTTCCTCTCAGAAGGGAGACGAGCAAAGCCAAGTGCAGCGTCGGGATAGAAGGGGGGTTCTGCGGAAAGTCAGACTGTGGATTCCACGAAGCAACGGCTCACTCACCTGAATGACAATCCATCGAGCTGGGGGTGCAGTGTATGCCAGAACATAAAAGATGGAATAGGCTTGCCAGACAACTTTGGCCGGCTTGTTGATGAGAAACGGCAGGATGTTCCATTTGAAGACAGTAGGGAGAGGCGGCAATGGGTACAAAGCCACCCTCTCGTTGCCAACAAGATCTGGATGGCGAGCAGTCTCCTTGTAACCAACGAGATCAACTCTCCCGCCGTGCTTCATGATGCTCATGGCATGATACTGCATGCGAGGGCTACGGCCTATATCGCCGAGGACCAGGATCTGGATGTGGTCATCCTTGGGGTTCTCAGCCGCATGGTAGCGGGTGGGCAGCAGCTTTGTGAGAAAGTTGATGCCGAGTGCAGCGACAAGAGTGGTGCAAATGCCAGCAATGACGGATAACACGAGAGGTATTAACGACATGTTGGCGATGTGCGACAGTTGGGCACAAATGTGGCAGGGTATTGGCGTAGGCCAAAGTGAATCGTTGTCCCCGTTGTCGTGAGTGGTTGAGGTGAGAAATGGGGTGGAGTTTGGAGACGGATCGTCAAAGCCTCAGATGTGGTGGTATCGGTTATGCAAAGTGTCCCGTCCTGTCATCTGAAGTTGCAATCAATAGCCTTAGCGCGTGCGCGCATGGAGGGGTCCAAGTTGAAGGCTGAGCGGTGGGGGGAGTATCCGTGCCGTGAGTACCTACGCTTGAGTATCCTTGAAGAGGGGAGAGGAGGGGACACGATGATGGAAGTTGAAGTGTTTTTTGGTAGGTAGCAAAAAAGGCCAAATTGCCCAGACTTGCGTGACCTGACGATGGCCTCTTGAGGAACGAGTTGGAATCGCGAGAGGCCTACGAAGCTTCTTGACTGGGCTAGACTCGCTCACCTTCCAAGACTTTGACCTCGTTGGCGCCTTCCAACTTGGGCAGGCCTTTGGGGATGTTGCAACGGTGGCGCCAATGAGGGGCCGATGTGGGCGCCATGATTTGATAAGCTCGATAATCGCGATAACACGGTGTCACGTGGAGAAAAACACGCTGAGCAGTACGTACCTCAAGGTAGCCTTCTCTTCCATTCTCCTCGATAATTAATCTCACAACAGGAACATCAGAAAATAAGGTGATGAGGTGCGGCAGAAGGTAGCTTAGCTTCATCAACTTGCAGATCCTCTGCGTGGGCCTGGATCACGATTCACGATCACCAATTGTCTACCCAAATTAGAAATCTCCGAACTAGACTTTTCGTCACCCAATTAATGGAAAACCAGCTGCTGCACATGCAAAACCAACACAGACCAACTCAGCCTCAGCACAACAAGAGAGAAGAAAAGACCATCATGCCTGTCTTGCCTTTTGTGCCTGTCACCCGGCGACATCTGAATGCCTCTCACAGACATTGGCTTGGCCCAGAAAAGATGTCGCAACGGGGCTGGCCGCGGATAGCAAGTGTTAGCCATCACACCGCCTTACCCGCGACCGTCCCATCAGAGATTATCCGCCCAGGCAAGCCAGGATCGAGGGTTTTGCATTGGCTTGCCTTTCGCTGATCCGTATCCATACTCTATCCCCTGAACAGCTTTATGCAGCTGCCCAGTGAACCCTCCTGGTGGACAATCGGATGGCATCTTTGATGTGTCACCCAGCGAATCACAGACACGACCGCCCTCGTCGAACCTGCACCTTACGTACCCGGCGCCCGGCCTCTCCCCACACGGAGCAATCTGCAGGGGTTGACGGCTGGATTCCCCTTTAGGTTCAGGTCCCAGAAGCCCACGGGTGCGAGAGATTCATCTGAAAGACTGAAAGGAGGCAGCACCCGACATGCCATGCGTCCCGAGGGTTCAGCGTTCAGCCCAAAAAAATAACAACAACAACGCTGCTCCATCATCCATGCTGGCATCTATCTGCTGGCCCATCCCGCTTTTTTGACGACCTGCCGTACGTACGGATACCGATACCTTACAAGTGGAGGCTTAGGTTGATTGCCTCTGGAAGGTCGCATCGAGGACACTCTTATTGTTCCTCCTCTTCCTCCTCCTCTCTGCTTTCAATCCTTTGCTCCCCTCCCCGCTCCTCCTTCCAGCCACACTTGGTCTTCTTTCATCTTATTAGATCTCCAAGTCTCAGCATTCGACGGCACAAGCGAACCAATCCATTCGTATCTGCCTACCTACTCTCGCCGCTTCCAGCATTGTCTGTGCGAGGCGCCGGCACGTCTGTCGACGATCAAATCTCCCGTCCCCCTCCAGCGCTCAGCGTTGGACTGCGGCGCGCAACGTCATTGACGGGGCGACTCCATTCCGGCCTTTTTAGCCTGTGCAGGTCCCCTGAACCACCCGGCACCACCATCAACTGCCAGCTCCAGGTCTTCTCAAGGTACACTGGCCCGAACACACACACACGACTCTCGCTCCATCACCTTCCAGCTCCACGGATCTAGACGTCCCACGACACCTCAATTGCGACGGTTTTCGAAATCTCGTACCTATTGCCGACCCGTCTTCGACATACCCCAGAAAAACTAGCGAATGCGGATAACGTCCGGCCCATGACTCAGGTTAGCACAAGATAGGGGCATCTTCGACTAGATCCCGACGCAACGGGCCCTTGGTGGAGGCGAACGAAAACGACCCAACGAAAATACGACAGAGGGGACACTACACAGACCCTTTTCCTCGCCCATCCCCGCCGATACCGACACCGACAGCGATTCCAGTCCCGGGTCCCAGACCGACCGACGACCGACCTCGACAACGCGCGCCGTGGTCAACATGGCCTCGTCCTATGCCTTGCCATCCTCCGCTCTACCGCACGCTCACCATCACCACATGCACTCCCACTCCCACTCGCCGCCGTCCCTTCACGCCTTAAAATCGACAATGTCCACCGGTGGGT